GAGAGCAGTGGTTGCTGCTATACATTCTTAGATAAAGCAATTCACTTCTTTAACTTAAACGCCTTCATCTGAAAATGTGGGCAGTGGCACCTGTCACTGGGGCTCATTCTGAGGATTAAATGATATCAGATACATAACGTGTTTAGGCCAGTGTCTGGCACCCCATGGGTGTTTGATAAATGTTAACTCTTTTTACAGTTAGGACAGTGGAGACTGGCTTGCCTGGCACTGGCTGGCTGGCTTCTAACTTACTAAAGATGAGACTTCTGAAAGGGGGCACAGAGGGGAGAGCAAGGAGCCCCATGAAGGATTTAAATGTGGTTTTCCCTCCTACTGTGAGGGTCCCTGAACTCAATAAATGAGAATGACCCTAGCTGAACTTCCACGCTTGAAAGTATAGTTGATTTTTAAAAGGAGTTCTTCGTTTTCAAGATCAGTTGTTCAACAGAACTAAAAAGCTTGCAGTCAGAAGAGCCTCAGTCCGTAAACCTACAGGGTAACCCGCGGAAAAGCAGGAATGTGCCATCCCTCTATAGAGAGCGGGGAGCCCCACACATGCTGTTGTCTGAACACTGTGACTCTGCTGCCTCCCCCACTCCAAATGAACCAGAAATCTGAGAATCTGAACTGAGCTCCAGCAAACATTATTTAAATGAACCGGCTGTTACAGGAACCTTAAACCACATGTCATTTGGTGGTGGGGCTGCCCTGGGCCAACAGACATTAGGAACAGGATTCCCAGCTCATACACGGATTGTATTCTAAATGTGCATTTAGAAGGCCATAGTTTGAAAGGCAGAATGCACTTTCCCAAAGAAGCGATGTTATAAATGGTGATGAGGGCCACATGCCAGCTCACAAAACTCCACATAATCATAATATAGCTACACTTGGTACATTTGAGCCAAAAAAAAAAAAAGAATAGTGGTCAATAATATTATAATAATGACAATTAAAGAATGAGATAAACAATAAAGTCGAGTATCTTTCATTTGTCTTGAGAGGTAGTGTTTAAGCAAAGGCAGATTCAATTAAAGGAGGATGAAAAGGTCTATCCAGGGGCGCCTGGGTGGCTTAGTTGGTTGGGCGTCCGACTTTCGCTTAGGTCATGATCTCGCGGTTCGTGGGTTCGGGCCCCGCGTCGGGCTCTGTGCTGACTGCCAGCTCAGGGCCTGGAGCCTATTTCAGAGTCTGTGTCTCCCTCTCTCTCTGACCTTCCCCTGCTCACGCTGTCTCTCTCTCCTAGAAATAAATAAAAATATTTAAAAAAAAAAAAAAAAAAAAAAAAGAAAAGGTCTATCCAGTAAGGCTGAGAGGCTAGGGAACCTGGGACTGTGGTCAGGAACCCCGGCAATTGGGAATGAGACTAGCTTGAAAGATTTCTACCAACGCTACACTACGAGGCTAGTGTCTGCCCCTGAAGGTCAACCTAGCACCCACGAGGGGTTAGCTGGTGGGGGCGGCTGAAAAAGAGTTAGCTGGAGGGTTTCTATACAGCCTTTTTAGCTTCAGTGCCCCTCTCCTTTTAGAAACAATTACCCCATTTATGACCCAGTCTGCCCCGACCCCAGGGATCACAGAAGGGAAGAATTTTTGGCACCTCTTTCACACTGATTTCTGAGATCAGACGAACTTTCTCAGATACTCACATCGCCTGGATGGTTTGAATTTGATACCCTACCCCTGTTTAGACTGACTGTAAGATTGCCACCTTCTTCATGGCAGGGAGGCCTTAGACACATTTGAAATCACCCATTCTAGCTGGGAGGCTATGGATCAAATGTATATGTATACACACACACACATATATATATGTGTGTGTGTATATATATATATATGTAAGTATGAAAAAGACATGAGAAAAGAGGAAAGGAGAAAATTGAAAAAGAAAGTTACTTGAAAAAGACCATTTTTAAGACAATAGAGAGGGCTTCTGTAAGAGCTAACCATTAGGTGGCACCATCAGCCCAGGGCAGTTCAGTTGTCGTGGGAAGGGCAGCAGAAAGGGGAAAAATTAATGAGTGATAGTCAAGAAGTGAGGAGGATGGCTGAAGGCAGCCACTTTGCAATAAGTAATTTAAAATATACAAGCCATTCCTGTGAAGTATGCGTTTCAGATTAACCCGCATATACTTAAATGCAACAATTCCCTTCAAGTTACAAAAATATCTCATAATTTTATTTCTTAAAATTGGTTTATACTCCTTGCCCACATTCTATTGATTTACACTTTTTTTAAAAAAAAATTAATTTTTAACAGTTCTGTCTTTTTCTGAGCGCTAATTCTTTGACAGCTCGATATAGGCAAGTACATTCTCTTGGTCCATGACTTGCTTCTTTTTAATGACAACTTTGTATTGCACAGAAATTTGAAATCTTTAACATAGACTAATTTGCTTATCTTTTCCTTTATGATTTGTTGTTTCTGAGTTTTGTTTAATATATTTTTAACTACCTTGGGGTGATAAAGATATTCTTTTAAACTGTCTTCTTAAAGTTTTGCTTTTTAAACCACCTGTTTTGCCTTGGCATAGCAAGCTACTTACTAAATAGTCCATCCTTTCCCTTCTGATTTGTTACTCCTGTCATAAAACTAGCACCCGTAAATGTGTGTGTGTGTCTGTTTGGGGGCTCTCTATTCTGTTCCATGGGTCTATTTCTCTATTCCTGCACCAGACACCATACCTAATTTTCTAACTATTCTTGAATCCATCTTGTTTTTCAAACACCTTTATGACATCAGCTTATTTTCTTCATTACATCATTATAATCACCTCATGGCTCTAGGCTAAGAGATGCACAAGCTATGGCTCATATGCTGAAGAGATTAGCACTAAGCAACAGGAATGCTGTTCGTCTATTCCAGGATTTATGACAGTGTCAGTTGCCAAGCATTTGATTTGGGCAACAGAGTTGCAAAGTAATTAACTTTGGTTGGATGGACCACTCCAGAAAGCAGTGCTTACCTTTCTGGGAAACAAGACATTGGTCCCATATCTGGAAACGGGTCACTAACGGAACCAGGCATGACAGAGTGGAGTAGAGTAAGTCCATTACCACCAGTGGAGAAGAAATGGACTTGAGTTTTATTCTCTGACTGTTGAGCGAAATCAGAAGGAAGATGACTCCCTTTGTGCTTACCCATGTCACCAGCAAAGTATGTAGATATTTCTGGTGTCAATCAACCAGGGAATAGAATCTTATATCTGGGAACCAAAACATATATAATGATAATAGACCAGAGTTTTATAGCACAGGGAAATTCTATTTCCATCTGGACCTTTTACTGGGCATTAGGAGGAGCAGATGGCTGACTGAAAGGAATCTAGATGAATTAGAGGACATCCTGGACTGGAGAGAAAAGTGGCCTTTGCCACATGAAGACAGGCCAGGAGCTAGGCAGGAAGGCAACATGTCCAAAAGAACTCATTATCTTTATACACAGAAACTTCTTGCTCTTTGAGTATTCCCATTCTCAGCACGCTCTGCCCAAATGCCAGGCTGCTCAAGCCACATGCCTGGGATCCATCCTTGAGGTGCAGTAAGTCTTACAGATTCTATTAACTAAATCTCTTGGCTCCATCCACATCTCTCCATCTCCCCTCCACCGCATCCCCACACACACTCACCACCCAGGCCATTGCTGTCTTTAACTAGAACAAGAGCAATAGTTTTCCAACCGGTCCCTCTGTCCTGAATCATAGTTGAGTCCTGCTGACCACCCCTGAATCCAAAAGGGAAATTCCCACTGTACTACCTACTAGCTGTGAAACTTGGGAAAACTTCTGCACCTCTCTGTGCTTCAATGTTCTCATGTAAAATGGCGATAATAACACCACCCACCTCGGGACCTTGTTGTGAAAACTGAATGTGTTACCACAGAGCAAAGTACTTGGAACAGAAACACTTACCACAGTCAATTGCCTTGGATGTTTGTCTCTACACCCTTCTAGACGGCAAGTCGACCGTGCCAGGGATGTGTCCATCAGCCCCATCGGTAGCTCCTTGTAGGTGTTGAAAACTATGAGCCATCAAAAACTGGAACAAAGTGAGCCATATTTTGTTAGTCAGACTGCCTATTTACCTGTTCCCTTCTTGTCTATTGCCCTCCATTAACACCAGTGCATTCCTAAAGCCTTCCCCAAATGTTCCAGCTTGTTCCCAGCCATAAGTGCAGACTCAGACCTACTGCCGAGGGCAAGGAGAATGCCCCCTGAAGGTGGAGGGTACAAAGGCAAGTTGGGAGTGGTTTCCCTGGGGGAAATGCACGCAGGCCTAGAGGTCTGCCTTCTCCCCCCCCCCCCCAACCCCACCCCGTTTAGTTTCTCTCCTTTGTCATCTTTGGAAGAGCCAGGTGTGACTTCACCGGGTTATTAACTTCACCAAGTTATTAAAACTGCAGATAAGAGGGAAGAAGGGGCGATGGGTCCTGGGTCAGGAACTCCACTGGAGACGCAACAGAGGTGGAGCGGTCTCAGGGGCACATAGGGTGTCGCTGGCTCCCCGTCTCCTGGGATTTGGACAGCCACCTGAACTCCTGCCTTCGGATGAAGGCTTCTGAGGGCCGAGAAGAAAACGACCTCTCGCTCCCTCCCTCACCTCCGTTTCTCGCTCTCGGTACGCCCCACACCTCTTCCTACCCACTTCCGAGCCGGCCTGCAGCCCTGCGTGCTGGTGGCAAAGCCGCCGGCTCCCTCCGGGCCACAGGGCCAGGCGCAGGACGTTGTACGAGCCGCGACGGCCGACCACCGCGTGACTGCAGAGGGGAAGGTCCCCCAAAGGGTCTCAGCAGCCGCAGGGAGTGTGATCCCGGCGCCGGCGCAGGGCGGAGGGGAGGCGCCCGGCCCGGGGCGGGGCCGCCGCAGGCTCCGCTCGCCCCCCGCGCTGGCGCGGGGGCGGAGGGGAGGGAGCCCTCCCTTCCCTCCCACCCCCCATTCCCTCTCCCCCGTATCCTCCGCGGCCTCCCGGAGACCCTCCCGGGCCGCCGCCGTGGCAGAGGCATGGCCGCGGGGGCCGCGGTGCGCAAGGCGGCGTCGGTGCTGGAAGCGCCTCCCCAGCAGGAGCAGGTACCGGGCGCGGGGCGCAGGCGGGGGGACACGGGGCCGGCGTGCCTAGGCTCCCGTGGGGGCTGGGTGGCCGCACGGACAGGTCTCCGAGTCCCCCGCCCCGGCGCGGATGACCTTTCTGGAAGGTGCTCGTGGCTTCGCCTGTCCCTACCCGACCCCAGGGAAGCCGAATTCCTCTCCGTTTCTCCCTCCCTCTCCCGCTCCTCTCCCTTCTCTTCCCCTCCTCCTCCTTTACTCTTCCCTCACCTCGCCGCCCCACTCTGTCTCCTCCAGAATGAGACTTTTCCGACTCACCCCTGGCCATTCCCTGCCCTCGGTACTGGCTGCCCCTCTCTCCTCCTGGCTCCCTGGCCGAAGCCCCAGGGCCCAGGTGAAGGAAAAGGACAGGTGCCTCACGCTTGACTGTGTGGTTCTCAAACAGCAGCTTGCATCAGAATCACTCCAAAGGCCAGTAAAAAAGCAGATGGGTGGCCGTTGCCCCCGGGGTTTCTAATTCCTGACCTCTGGGATAGTGGCGTCATCACTTTGCAAGTCAGACTAGTTCCCAAGAGGTGCTGATGCTCAAGCTTTGAGACCCTCTAGGCGAGCTATCCCCTCCCCGCTTCCCGTGGTGATTTCAAACCCAGTCATTACTGTTTTTCATTTATAGATGATTCTTAGGCCACGATCACATAGCAGGAACTGTTCTACTCTGGGATAAGGGGGATACAGTTAGACGTAGACCTTTCTCCTCGGAACTCACATCCTAGTATAACAAGGACACAATAATTCATAGAGGGTAGGAAGTGATTACTGTCCCCAAAGGAGATTGAAGTTTTGTAGGATTTCTAGGAAGCAAGGAACTACTTAAGGCAGGAAGGGTAGGCAAGGCTGACTGGGGGGATGGGGGTGGCATGGCTTTTGAACTGGGCCTCAGGGAATGGATGAGATTCCATGTGGCCCTGAGAGGAAATGAGAAGTCTCCATGGAGGAAATGGGAATACCAAATTACTTGGAGGCGAAAAAAATTGTCAGGGGTGGGAGTTGACCAAGGAGAAAGGTGGGAGTAGGGGTGGATATTCACTATGACCCTGGCAGAAATGCAGGGTTCATGAAAGCTTGTAGGAAGGGAAAGCTACATTATGGCAAGTCTTGTACCATGCTGTGTACTGGAGATTTATTCTCTAACAAGGGAAAGCTATAAGGGAACTCCATGATTTGCTTGCTGGTTTCAAACCCAGATTGTTCACAGAGGATTACGGATGAAGAAGTCTGCATGCTGGGAAGAGCAGACGACTGGCAGAGTCACTTCTGCAGCTGATGTTTGCTCTCCATGAAGGGTGCCACCGCTGCCTTGCCCACTGCCCTCAGGAGGTGTGGTCCCCTCTTAACTCTGTCCTGGGAGAAACTCAGAGCTTGTCCCTTAATCCCCCCTTGTTCTGCTTTGCTGGCTACTGTATTTCCAGAATGAAGCACGGAGTCTGGCAAATGGCAGGGCCTCAGGAAATGTTTATTGGACAAACAAGGGAATGAATAATAAACATACAACCTCATGATCTGGGGCTCTAGTCTGCCCAGCTCCCTATGTACCTCTTTGTGCCAAACACCATCTCCCTATTCCCCATCCTCCTCCCTGTGGTCTAGGGAGCCAGGTGCATACACCCTATGTGCTCCTAAGACTCCTCAAAGTTGGGGTACAAGAGAGTAGACAGCATGGACTCAGCACTTCCTTCTGCTTATCTGAAGACTACTTTTCAGGCTCTGATTTCCCTAGAGGACCCACCTCTGCCTCAGCGCTGTTCTCTTCCTTGGAGTACGCCAGACACAGCCCCTCCCTACTGCTCCATCCATGGAAGTTCTGTGGTTGCCCAGTGACATAGATTCCATATCACTGAACACAGCCCTCCAAGCCTAACATCCTTACCTTCTGCTCACGTATGTCCCAGGGACAGCAGTAGTTTGAGTTTACTGTTCTGGTTTTGCCACTCATTTTAGCAAGGTTTTTCTAACAGATGGATTTTTGTGAAGGGTTGAAAGTGGGGAAACTAATTTGGAGGTGGCAGCTGAGGTACGAAATGATGAGGGCTGGCACCAAAAGGGACGCGATTTTCAAATACAGTTATCCCTTGAACAACACGGGACTCTAAGTGCATTTTCCTTACGATTTTCTTTATATTCATTTGCTTTTCTCTACCTACTTTCTTGTAAGAATACAGAATATAGTACATATAACATCTGAAGTACATGTTGATCAGCTATTTACGTTATTAGTCAGGTTTCTAGTCAACAGTAGGCTATTAGTAGTTAAATCCTGGGGAGTCAAAAGTTATACACAGATTTTTGACTGTGGGGGGATTGGCACCCCTAACCCCAGCATTGTTCAAAAGTCAACTGTATATTGATTGAGTGTGTGATGTGCCAGACAGGGAGTATTCAGCGGTTGGGTAAGAGAAGTAATAAACCACTGATGACCATGCAGTGGGGTAACAATATTCAGTGGACCTACTGGAGAGGCCTAACCCAAAAGGCTTCCTGGAGGAAGTGGAGTCCAGGACATCCCCAAAGGGTGGCTGGGGGTCAAAGAAAAGCATTCAGGGGACAGTAAAGTTCTGCTTGGCTGGAGCAGGGGCAGTGGAGAGAAAAGAAGCTGAAAATGGCCAGAGGGCCACAGGAGCCGTGTTAGTGACAAGGGCAGCCACTTGTGTTTTGAGCAGGTTTGCCTCTAATTGGATCACCCTCACTGTTTGAAGGGAGACAAGGAGTGGAGGCAAGAGCCCCCTGGGAAGAAGGGAACCATCTGCACCAGGTTGGATCTGTCCTGAGGCTCAGGAGGGCCTTGCCAACCATTTTTGATTTCCACTCCCTAGAGGCAACAGCTTTCAACTGTTCTCAGGAACCAATGGTGGACTCTTCTGGCAGGAGGTAGGCAGGAGCTCAGCAACCAGTAGCAATGTCCTCATGCTCCCAGAAGATCCCAGTGCTCAGAACCCCTTATCCTCCCCACCCCCAGGGATGCCCCTTCTTGCCCTCAGCCTGGAAGCAAGAGAGTGCAGGGGTCACCTCCCAGCCTGCCCCATATGTTCCAACTCCTAACCCCCAGCCCATAGGCACCCTGGGTGATCTGCCTTCAGGAATAAAGTGATTGTGCCCCATTGTGTCCCTGTTGGCCCCAGATGTGGGGTGAAGGGTTGTGGGAGAGGCACAGTAAATGGACACATCCAGGGCTGGAGTGAAGGGACAAGTACTGTGCCTTTTCCCCCTACTGTCTCTACCTGCCCAGCCCAGCCCCGAGCCAGCCACCTCACTGTCCCTAAGAGAAGGTGGGGCTGGGGGACCCCTGGGGTCTAAAGATTCAACTAGCCCTCTCAGTGGACTTCCAGAGGCTCTACAGTTGTTTTGACCTGCATTCGAATATCAGGGACCACCTGATAGGAAATCCTAGATTGAATGGATGGCATTATTTTTTTTTCCATATGTCAGACTTGCTGGTGCCATTTGAAGAAAACATACTGAAAATACCTACTTAATATCAGATTTGTGTAACAAATGTTTTATTTGCATTCCTTTCTTTGCTGTCATTGGGGATTTTAGCTTTTAATATACAGGACGAGGGATTAAGCTGTCTATGTTCTCCATGAAAGTTATAAGATTATGTCTTTCCAAGGATTGGCTTAAAGGTTCCAAATGACCAAGTGTAATAAATTAGCAGTGATCAAGGGAAGGCAGCACATGCCTACGATCTGTAAGTCAAGGAGAGCACTTCCTGGCTCCAGCTCAGTCTGCGAGGGCAAGCAAGGCCTGATTGCTCTCTTCCCTGGGGCCAGGTTTTAAATTAAATTAACAGGAGGGCATAAAAGATGCTCCAAACAAGTAGAGCCTCTGGTCAGCTCAGTCTCTAAAACCTTGAACTTGGAGATATTTACTCATTGGCATCATTTAAGACACCCAAGAGATGTTTTTTCTAGGATTTACGTATCATATCCCAAAAGCCAAATGGAGCCTCATCTAATTCTCTGACTTGAGCAGAATCAAATATTTATTAACAGTAACTTGATTGCTCTTTTGTTTTGGGGTGTGTGTGTGTGCCTTAGTTCTGTAAGCAAATATTCTATTAGGGCTTTCATCCTAAGTTATTATAGTACTAGGAAACATCACTGTTTTTCGTGGCTTGGGTTTCCCATATAATGCTGTAAAATACAAGCTGAAAAAACAAAGTTTTGAGAAGGGTTCTTTTTGCTTTTTTTCAGATCTCTCACACCAAGCTTTCTGAGGATGATGAATGGAAGTAAGTGATTAGAATTTTTTTAATTGTTTAAATTTACATTTCTACTAACAATTACATTTCTGCCCTAAAAGTTTGAGAAATTAAATGAAGCCATCATTTCTTTGTAAATTTCTCGGGGCACAGAAGGTGGGTTAGTTTAGCATGCATGCACAAAGATAGGATAAACCAAACCGCAAGGATTTCATCTGTTTTCTACAGTGTGATTCATGCAGTCCCACAAAGCTGGGTTTATATGTCCTTCAAAATAGGGCAGTGTCAAGTTAGTATTTATTTTAGTCACAAGATACATCTGGTTTTCTTTATATGCTGTTTCCGCTGTGTTCTGGTACTGACTATGGGGCTAGTAGAGCCCTGTGGGCACCAAATAAAATGAAACAAAAATGAAAAGTTTCTCCTTTTTTGCATTATGGTAATCAATTATGAATGTATTCCTAATCAAAGTAGGAAATACTTACTACATTTGCATATTATTTGATACCTTCCAAAGTGCTTCCACAGAGGTTATTTTGAGATGTTTTCATTATCTATAATGAAATAATGAATGTTTTCATTATATATAATTATATATAATAGATGAATGTGACAAAGCATATTTTGTTTTGTGTCCACACAAGTCTTATTTTAGGTTGATGATAAATTCACTCTTCTATCGACATGGCCTAAGTTGAAATTCTGTGCATTAAATAGAATATTAAAAAGTTATTTTGCTTTTGTGCCTTAAAAACTATAAGTTCCTGTACCCCTTTATTCTTCTTCACTTCCAATTTCTTCAAAGGTCCAAGTGTATTTTTTAATGAGCTTCTGGAAATCATTCATGTCTCTTAAGTTGGCTTCCAGTACAAAGACTATTAACAATGTAATTTTATTCAGGTTGTTTACCTGATAGGGACTTCATCTTCTTCATTTGATGAGTGTAGGGGTTTCAGTACATCAAATGTACATTCCAGCATTAACGTTCTAAGATTCCATCTCAAAGAAGATGAACTCAGGCAGAAATATTTACTAGGCTCTGCATGCTCATTTCTACATGTTGTCCATCAGGGAGCACCCTAAGAGCCCTTTTCTGAGGCACTTAGTACTTCTCTACTCTTGAGCTATAGAATTTACTGGTAAAGGGGCTCCTGGGTGGTTCATTCCAATAAGGTTAAGCGTCCAAGTATTTGATTTCGGCTCAGGTCATGATCTCATGTTTCATGTGAGTTCAAGCCCTGCATCAGGCTCTGTGCTGGCAGCATAGGCTACTTGGGATTCTTTCTCTCTCTGCATGTCCCCTGCTCGCTCTTGCTCTTGCTATCAAAATAAATAAATAAACATTAAAAAAATTTTTTAATTATTAGTAAAGGGGGAAGAACCCAACCCACATATCCATGGAGTACCTTTAAAAGGCTACAGTCTTCTGGCACAGAGTATTACCCTGCAGTTTTTTTGTTTTTTGTTTTTTTTTAAGTTTATTTATTTATTTTGAGAGAGTGTGAATGGGGGAGGGAGAGAGAGAGAAAGAGAGAGAATCCCAGACAGGCTCCATGCTCTCAGCACAGACCCTGACTCGGGGCTCAAACTCATGAAACTGTGAGACCGCGCCCTGAGCCGAAATCAAGAGTTGGATACTTAACCGACTGAGCCACCCAGGCGCCGTTCTGTGTTGTTTTCTGATGGGTACACTAAGTTCACACTATGTCTAGTCATAAGTGGAAAGAAACTTCAAGACATTTTGTGACTCATGGTGCCCCACTGGGGATGAAAGATAATGCTAACCACTATTTATCAAGTACTTGATTGGCAACATTCATAATTTTTCCCCTTGCCCTACTCTTGACCCTGAACTGCTCTCTCTTCCTCTAGCCCAGTGGTTCTCAATTTTGGCTGCATCTTAAAGTCACATGGGGAACTTAAACTACCATAACAAGTACCACAGACCAGGTGGTTTAAACAGAAATTCACTTCCTCACAGTTCTGGGGCCAAGAAGGGTATTAGCACGTTTGGGTTCTCCTGACGCTTCTCCTTGACTTGCAGGTAGCTGCCCTCTCACTGCATCTTCATATGGTTCCCTCTGTGTGAATTTACATCCGAATCTCCTTATAAAGACACCAGTCAGATTGGATTAGGACCCACTCAGTGATGGCATTTAACCTTATTTACTTCCCTAAAGTTCCTGTCTCCAAATACAGTCACCTTAGAAGGTGACTAGGGGGGTAGGTGGGGTAAGACTTTAACAAATGAATGCGGGAGAGGGCACAGTTCAGCCCATATCACGCAAAAATGGTCATTTAATTGATCTGGGCCCAGCTTGGACATTGGGACTTTTAAAACTCTCCAGTGGTTTTCAGTTTACAGCCAACATCAAGAACCATTGCTCTAGGCTTTCTCTGAAGCCACTTCTGCTATAGGAAGTTAAACCAGATGACATACTATTATACTGTTTTCTCTACCGTTATGCAAAACCAAGAGTCCAACTAAATACTGAAACATTCCTCCATCATCAGAATGTGCCCGCCTAAGATAATACTTAGGCTTCTTTGTTCTCCTTATAATGAAAAAAAAAACTGTATACAGCTCACTCAGGAGTTTTCTGGAGCCCTTTGGATAATATTCTCTCCACTGGCACCATCTGCAGGATATCCTTTTTCTTCAAAATATTAAAAATTACTTGAAATTACCATATTTTATTATTTTGACTTTCAAAAATGGAAATTTCATATTATTTAATCTAATAATAAGGACATCTACATATTATATTTTATATAACATATTACACAGATTAGTATAATCTAATAATAATAATTTCTTATTTAAGACCAAATAAAGTAAAATGGGCTTTGCAGTTTTAGAACAATCTTGTGAAGCACCAAGGGGTCATTATTTTAAGTTTGCAAAGGAGGAAACTAAGTCGCAGAGAGGATGAGTGACTTTCACGAGTCTGTGTGGCGATGGGGCTGGTACCCAGGTCTGTCCAGATCCCATCAGTGATTTTTTCAGCCCCATCACTTAACTTACAAGGACAAGGCTGAGGCCAAAACCACACAGGCAAGCTAAGGGCTGAGAGGAACTGGGATACCTGATGAAATCAGGTTCCTCCTCTCCATTGCCCCCTCCTCAAGCCTTGGGAGAAAAGGAAAAAATCAAAACAAAACAAAAAAACCAGGAAATTTATAATCAAAGCTTAAAACCCCCTACATTTGAATTTTTTAATGTTTTTTATTTATTTATGAGAGAGAGAGACAGACAGCATGAGCAGGGAGGGTCAGAGAGAGAGGGAGACACAGAATCCAAAGCAGGCTCCAGGCTCTGAGCTAGCTGTCAGCACAGAGCCCGACGCGGGGCTCAAACCCACGAACCATGAGATCATGACCTGAGCCGAAGTTGGACGCTTAACTGACTGAGCCGCCCAGGTTCCCCAAAACCCCCTACTTTTGAAACCTCCAATTACTTTCTTTGAGCCTAGACTTTGTTTTTTCTTCTAAATGTACCGTGTAAGGGTTAAGGGCTTTTTCAGATGACCTCATTTGCTGGTTCCAGCCTGCAGCAGGAAAGGATATACAGGATGCACCGGGGCCATGAATCCATGCACGTGGAGATGATCTTGATCTTCCTCTGCGCCCTGGTCGTCGCCCAGATAGTGCTGGTACAGTGGAGACAGAGGCACGGCAGGTCCTACAATGTGAGTTGCCCCCAGGGGACCTCTGGAATCCAGTTTTTCTTCCTACCACATCCCTCCCTTGAAGGAAATGCTTTGGTTTAAGTCAATGGTTCTCAACTTGGTGTAGTTTTGCCCCCAGGAGATACTTGGCAACATCTGGAAACAGTTTTGTTTGTCACGCCTTAGTGGGTGGAGAGAGGAGGATGGGAATTGCTTCTGGCATGTAGTGGGTAGAGGCCACAGATGCCGCTAAACGTGCACAGGACAGCTCCTCGCGATAAAATGTCAATAGTGACAAGGCTAAGAAGCCCTAGTTTAAGTAAACCAGTTTTCCTTTAGCATGAGCAGCTTCTGCCAATGGCCCAGGGAAAGGAGGATTAGGAATAGAAGAAACAAAAGACTGACGCTCTCTAATTTTGAGCAACAACAACAACAAAAAACTCTCTTGGCATTGATAGTTTGCATATCTATGGAAATGTGTTGATGCCAACGTTGTACTGACCTCACCAATACACAGTTTGATCCCATTTTCACACACCAATCCCACTCAAGCGCGCTGACTAGAACTTTGCCATCTCATGCCCTCAGAATCATAGCTCAGGCCATCTTGGACCCAAGACCTTCCCACTGCAATATTTAAGAGCAGTGGTTCTCAAACTTTAAGGTGCATCAGAATCACCTGGAGAGGTGAATCAGTTTGTTAATCAGATTCCCTGGTCCCACCCCCAAAGTCTCTAGGGGCCCAAGAATTTGCATGTCTAACAAGTTCCCACGTGGTGCTGATGCTGCTGGTCTGAGACCACATTTGAGAACCAATCATTTAGACTTGAGTATGTTGCAAACGAAGAAAGTCCTCATTTAACACTACATGATTCTGGGTCTTCGACTTGTCATTGTATAAGACTTGTCTGCGACGTGTGAAGTGCTGGCTTAGACCAGTATTTTATTCTATTTTATTTTTAACCATCACAGAAAGTATTCCCTTTCAAATTCTGTACACTGTTTAAGTTTAGACAATTTGAACATTTTATTTAGAAAGGGAAATCCTGTGTTTTTGGGTTTTTTTAAGCAAACACATTTATTTGCTGTCATGCCAATGCTGTCTTGTCAATTAAAATAAACATCTTCTGGGGTGCCAGTGAAGCTTTCTACTTTGGCTTAGGTCATGATCTCATGGTTTGTCAACACAAAGCCCACTTCAGATCATCTGTCTCCCTCTCTCTCTGTCCCTCTCCCACTACTCATTCTTTCTCTCTCTCTTTCACAAATAAACATTAGAAAAATTTTTAAATAAAAAATAAACATCCTCTGTATTGCACTTGAGCAAATTGTTTTTAAAAGAAAAAAACTAGAATAAAACTTCATTATTTATTAACTTATATCAAAGAAAAGTTCCATAATATATCTTAACCATGGTTTTCTTATCTGCAAATGGAATTAACCTAATATACAGAATTTCTGGAGTCCCTAAGGAACAAGAAACCTGGATTCTTAAAAAACTCATTCATAGCCCCGTCCCATAATTCCTTTATAACTCATAACTATCTCTGGGTTAGATATTTTAAAACATGTTCAGTTTCCATGGCAACTTAAGTACAGATTTTGCATAGAAAACCCCCTGCTCTTGAAGGGAAATGCCTTATTAGCCAACTGACCTGCATTATGCGCCACTATTCCGCCACCATTTTTATTTGATGATTTTTGAGGAGGCTTATGCCAAAAAGAATATGTCCTTGTCATGTATTTGAAGAAATTGCCCTTTTGTCAACTTTCTGAAGATGTGTATCACCGTACCAGTCAATGTGGAGCCCACACACTGGCTCTACCTAGCCACAGATAGACCTGCCCATACGTCAGAGGCTACTTGAAGGACTTGTTGCCATTGGAGGTTCTAACCCTTAATGACTAAGGCTACACTGGTCCCAGGCAGGCCAACGACTGGTCCCTGAGCTCAATGACTGTTGGTTAGCTAGAGTGGTCTTCCCAAACTGTTTCCTATTGCTCACTACACAAGCTGTGCTGCCTGGAATAACTCTCCAGGCCTGTTATGTTTGCTTGCACCCCATCCTTCACCGACAACTGGACTCCCTTAGTGACCCCACCTCTTCCCAAAGTTGCTGTTTCTGTGTTCTTCTATCACATGGCTCCTCTATTTTATGGTTATGAAGAGGGGCTCTGTGGTCCTAAGGATCCCCTTGGAGGTGACCAGATGATTGTGATAGTGACTTCTCTTAGAGTGACCCTGCCTGGCGCTTTAACAAAGCCAGGAACCCAAATGAAGATAGCCCACAGTGGTCAAGGACAGATTTGGGTCTCACGCGATTCTGCTAGATTAGCTCATAATCATGGTTCCCCTCCAGAATATTTTCTACTTCTTTGTCCATTGGTCAATCTATACTATGCATTGTCCCAAAGGAATTGGCAGAGTGGCCCCTTTTCCCAGCACGTTTCTGTTGACAACCTTTGTCTCAAGTTGAGAGCCAGCGTGTGAGGCTGATCTTTCCCAAACTGCTGCCTCATATTTGCCCCATACTTTGCACTTCTTGTTTTTTTATGTTTTTATTTTGTTTTTGGGAGAGAGAGACAGAGAGACAGAGTGTGAGCAGGGTGGGAGCATAGAGAGAAACACACACGGAATCTGACGCAGGCCCCAGGCTCTCAGCTGTTGGCACAGAGCCTGCTGCAGGGTTCAAACTCAAACTCACGGACTCTGAGATCATGACCTGAGCCAAAGTCAGATGCTTAACCGACTGAGCCACCCAGTCGGTTAAGCATTAATTTTTTAAAATCATTTTATTTTATTTTTAAAAGAGAGAGATAGAGACAGACAGACAGAGTGTGAGGAGAGGAAGGGCACAGAGAGAGGGAATGCATTTTTTCTTAAGTGTTCACTACCAGAGCCAGTCATCAGAACACAGCCATTTCAGGAACTCTTGGTGAAATCTGCAACCATTGAATTTGAAAATGGTTTCCAGAGCAATAATAGCTGATTCCAGCAATGGTTTCGAGCTTTCTTATTGTACTCTGCATGAACTATATCAAAAAAACCTGCACTTGACATACGATTCAATTTAACATCTTTTTTTTTGAAAGTTTATTTTTATTTATTTTGAGAGAGACAGAGAGAACAGGGGAGGGGCAGAGAGAGAGAAGGGGAGAGTCCCAAGCAGGCCTCTGAGCTGCCAGTCCAAGAGCCAACATGGGGTTCTGCCTCACGAAACTTGTGAGATCATGACCTGAGCTGAAATCAAGAGTTGGACACTCAACTGACTAAGCCACCCAGGCATCCCTCTTCTTTGGGATGGAATTCGATAAGGACATGTTACCATAAATGTTGACCTAACAGCCTTATCATCCAGGGAAAACCTAACTTTTAAATTTTTTCTCTTGGCACCTAAGATTATATGACATCTAACAGAGCTACAGAGAGTTTTGAACACTTTACAAGGTTCACGAAGTTCCCCACTCTTTTTTACAAGGGTCCATATAATAGTTCATTTCTATTCAATTTTATAGTCTATCAGTTTATTAGTAATATTATTTATAACATTTTAAGGATAATTCCTATAATAACATTCATATATAAATTACTATGTATAAATATTTACATATAAATTATTGTCATTATAGTTGTGATGAGTGCTTTTTATACATTATCTAATTTACTCCAGGAGATAATAATTGTTTATCCCTTTTGTGAAATGCAGTTCAGAGAGATAAAATAACTCAGTCAGGGTTATATAACTACCTAGTTGCAGAGTGCAGACTAGAATCCAATCCTCACTTTCATGTCAAGGATAAGCTCCTTAAATATCTCTGCACCATAGTTTCCTAATCTGCAAAATGGAAATGCTGAAGATGAAAATCTATCTCCAAAGTTATTAGAATTCAGAAACATTTCCCTATGAGAACTTCTAGCATGCTGACTGATACGTAGTGAGTGTTCAGTACCATGAGCTGACTCTGGATGCATTCAGAAGATATTGATATAATATATAAAAGCTTTAAACATTTAACCACAGGGGTGCCTGGGTGGCTCAGTCGGTTAAGCGTCTGACTTTGGCTCAGGTCATGATCTCACAGTTCGTGGGTTCGGGCCCCGCATTGGGCTCTGTGCTGGCTACCAGCTGAGAGCCTGGAGCCTGTTTCAGATTCTTTGTCTCCCTCTCTCTCTGACCCTCCCCTGCTCATGTTCTCTCTCTCTCTCTCTCTCTCTCTCTCTCTCAGAAACAAATAAAACATTAAAAAAAAAACATTTAATCACATACTGTAAAAACAGTTTACTAATAAAAGAATCCTTTTCTGAACTCTTTTGTAAACCTAAAGTGAATACTCAGCTGTTAATGTGCACTCTCTGTTGGGAGATTACAATGTATTGTTTTTTTCAAAGCCGTGCACCTTCTTCTCCTGTCACACCCTCTGCTCTGCCATATGCTTTGCCCACAGACTGTTCCCCAGGCTGGTTTTGTTAGATGTGTTAATAGGAACGAGAGGCAGGGTGGTAAAGGGAGGAGTACCAGCTTAGGGGTTAGAAGACTTCAGCCACACATTTAACCACAGCGAGCTTCCGTTTCCTGATCTTTCAAACAATGCAATTTTTAAAAATGTGAATGACTTTTGGCTGTAGCTCTGACATGTAATAAACTTGAAAGTCTTCACCCCCATCTTATAACAAGAAAAACCTAGACAGACTGAATGTCAATAAGTTTTCTTGGATCTATCAGAGAATTAAGGGTAGTGGGAAAACCACCACCCCAAATCTGGAAAGACAGGAGAATGCCAGGAATCACAGTTGAGATGTGCTGACTGGGGGCAGAAGCTGCAAGAGCCACACGATGGTAGAAATACGTAAGAAGTAACTTGGAAGAATTGCTGGATGTGGAGTTTAGACTAGTGTGAGAGTGAGAAACTCTTGGTGGCCACAGTCTTAAGGGCTTCCCCAGATTATTTTAGGTTTTTAGCTCCAGGAACCCCACCATGGTGTAAAGCAAAGAAAAAAAAAATGGTGTAAAGCCAAGGGA